GCCATACACTGAGGCACTGGGCCGCTCACTGCACCCCTGGGATTTGCAGCACAGGGGCCTCCAGGAAGAACGGCACCTCACACGGCCCCCAGGGCCTTTGGGGACAAGGTCCAGCTCGTGGAGTGGGACGGTGTGACCAAGAGGCCTACCTGTGGCGAGCAGCTGGAGGTGGCGGCTGAGCCCACCCCGAGGGCACTGAGAGACCCTCAAACCCCTACACGCCTAGTCGGCTCAGCAGCTCCCGGTCACGAGACTGGGTGTGTGACAGGCACGCACAAACCTCTGTTACGCTGCTTTTTCCCGCTGGACTGGCTGGGAGCCGGGGCACCACGGGGGACGAACACAAACAAGTGCTGCCACCACAGACTGACCCGCTGAGCCCGCACCCCCAACTCGACGGGGGCGGGAGGGAGGGCTGTGGGGTGACTCGATCATGGGGTGGGGCCCCGAGGAGTGGCACTAGTGCCTTCTGAGAAGAGGCCCAGTCCACCCGGGAGGACACAGTGGGAAGACGCTGCCTGAACCAGGATGTGGTTCAGACAGCGGGACCAGCCTGCTTCTCTTCTGCGGGGTGGAAGAGAAGCTGGGGAGGGGTGCTGGGGACGTGAGGGTGGGGTGTGGGGCAGACCTGCCGAGTTGCTGCCGGGACCCCTCCAGAGACGCGAGGATGCGCTTTCCGCTGTGTCACGCGCGGGTCTGCTCTGGCCGGGCAGGCCTGGAGGGCGGCCGGCCCCGGGCACAGCCAGTGTGCCTGCCCCACTGTGGGCACAGCCCCAGCAGGACCAAGCAGGGGACAGTCGGCAGGCGGGCACCCGGGGCTGCTGGCCACACTGCACGCTGAAGGCGGCTCACAGCCGCCAGCTGAAAATCGCCACTTGATCCCATTGCTAGGCCAGAGCCCGCAGGACGCAGCACGAAACCCACCCAGGGTCCTTCCCTATCACTAAGGGGATACCCTGCCACCCCGAGCACAGGGGCGCTGGCAGAGCAGGCAGGAGGCACTCGGGAAATGGCGGGGGGGGGGGCCCTGTGTTGGGTGACAGCAGGGAGGCAGCTGCACCGACGGAGCACTGATCCATCGTGACCATGGGGGGGCCATGGCCCAGCTCAGAACTGACTGCTCTCGCCCAGCCCTCCCTCCACACTTTCTCCAAAATCCACACCTTGCTGGGGCCACGCAGAGGGCCAAGTGTAACCTTGTCGTGAGCCGCACTCACGAGAATTAGCGAATCCACTTTGAACGCTCCTGGCTCCGGACCCATGTGCCACACGGATCACGTCTGCCTAGGAAGTGCGCCATGGCTAAGAGCTGCCCCTTCAGAAGGAGAGCCAGCCTGCCTTGTCAGCGGGGGATGGGGGCACTGCAACCCCCACGTTGCCCTCCCAGCCCCCAAGAGAAAAGCCAAATGCAAACAGACCCCAGTGAGCAGGCCGCTCTCAAGTCCCTGACCGGCAGTCCAGGGTCCCCACAGTGTGGAAGCGGCCACTCACATTGACTGCCACCCAAATCAAACAGGAAGGGCGCCGAGTCTCAAGACCGGTGAGCACAGCGACCAACAGGGACGCTTCCAAAGCCCATGGAGTGGCACTGCTGTCGCTGCAGCCGGGCGCCGGGCTGGAGCCTCCCTGCTCACTGTGGAGCCTCGCAGTCCCCAGCAAGGCAGGGGTGCCAACAGACCAGGGGGCAGCTGCCCCCAGAGTCGCCTGGCCTCACACAGGAGGGAGCGGGGAATGCAGCCTGGGAGCAGGCCTGCACCCCTGGCCGCGAAGGGCTACGCAGGCTCCGGGGGGAGGGGGGTGCAGGGGAAGACCGGTGGTCAGGGCGGCCCCCAGGGATTCGAGGCCTGAGGCCATGCATGCAGAGAAGGCCAGACCCCTGCTCGGGCGGGTGGGCCCCCGGGCCTGACCCAGGAAGCCCCAGACCGCCTGGGTGCCAACCCCGCTATCTGCCCTGTGGCCTGGGCACATTGCTCCAGGTTCCCGAGGCCCGGGACGAGGGAAAGCCAGGAGGCTGCACCCCAAGCTGCCGCCCCCTCTGGGCCCTCGTGGGAGTGCCTCTTGGGTCGGGGCCTGGCCGGCAGACGGCGCTCTTCTCACCGGCCCCGCCGCAGGGAGGCCCGGCAGGCGGGTGCCCGAGCAGAGCCAGTGGGCTCTGGGGGTCTGTGCCTGCAGGGGCAGCTCTGAGGGCCTAGGCCGCCAGCACTGCCCGACGGTGATCGGTCCCGGCCTTGGGGGCAGGCGCGGCCCACCGCCTGATGCTCGCTGCCGCCGCCACTGGGGCCGGGCTGAGGAGTCAGCCGAGGTACTTCCAGCAGGGTCCCGGCGTGGGGTGGGGGGCAAAGGGGTCTACAGGTGGCCCGTGCCGAGAGGGAGACTTGCCCCGCCCTTCGACCACAGGCCCGGCCCCCTGCCAAGCCCAGTCCCGGCTCCCATCCACACTCGGGGAGCCGTCCGCCCGCCAGCCCGGCTCTGCCCCAGTAACCCCGCGTCGAACCCCGCAACCTGCACACTCGGGCTTTCAGACAGACAGGCCCCTGGAGCCCGAGCCTGAGTGTGCTGCCACGTCCTGTCACCGCAGGAATCACAGCGGAGCGACGGGTCTTGTCTTCAGACGTCGCCCTGACATTTCCTTCTGACGGCAGCTACAGAGTCAGTGGGGCTGCCCACCATGTACTGTCCCTTTAAGCGGCTTCCTGGGGCCAGGTCAGCGCACCGAGAAACCCGGGCTCCGCGGGCGCGGCGGCAGGTGCTCCCGAAGGCGCCGAGGCCCGGCCCCTTAGCTCAGAGCGCGCTGACTCAGCACCACGGCCCCTCGCCACCAGGCCTGCCCCCGCGCTCGCCGCCCGCTCCTGCCGGAAGGGCTCCGCCGCCCCGGCCAGCAGGCCGGCACCCGCAGCGCGAGGGGGCGGGGCCGCGCCGGGGGCGGGGCGAGCGGTCACGTGTGTACACAGGCCCCCGCGCGGCGTGTGCCGTGAGCCTGCCGCCTCCGGAGCCCCCAGCTGCCCGCCCGCGGTGACTGCGCGGCCCAGCGAGCCGGTGAGTGGGCGCCGAGTGTGGGGTTGGGGTCGGGTCCGCTAGGTGCCCGCGGGGCCGTGGCCCGCGCGGGGAGCGAGCCCGGGGCTGCGGTGGCCCCGTCGGCCGGGCGCTCCGCTGGGACCCGCGGGTCCTTGGGCCGGGCCCTGCGTGGTCCCCTCGGCGCGGGGGGCGCTGTAGCCCCGCGGCGCTGGGAGGGGAGCCAGGCAGGCCGCCGCCCCGCGGTCGTTGACCTGTCAGGCACTGGAGCCGTGCCCGCGGGTGGCCAGCAGTCCAGCCGACTCACGTCCCCGCAGTTGGAGCTTTGTCCCTTTCCTGATGACAGCGTCATAGCAAACTCTGAAGGACGCCCGAGCGGAGACCCGCTCTGCGGGGACTGCCTTGGTTCCCTGACGGCCCCCTCCGGGCACGGACTGGCTCCGCGGACGCCCAGCGCCTCTGCTGCTCCGGCAGAACCTGGTGGCGGTCGCCGTCACAGCCCCCAGCGCGGCGCCCTGGGTCGCAGGGTCACTCTCGCCCGTGTGAGGGAGACCTGGTGTCTCACGTCCCTCTCACCACCGGAGAGGGCTCAGTTCAGGTCCCTGCACCACCTTTTTCTGTTTCAATTTCGTTTGTTGGAAGTGAGATCTCTGACCTATGTCACTTGAGCATAGTGTCCCATGGGTCCACCCCAGGGATCGCAAGTGGCGGGACTCCATTCCTGTTTACTGCGGAGTGACACCTGACTGCGTGCGCCCCACAGCCGCCTTCCCGCGGTGCGGGTGGGCGCGCCGCTCCCTCCAGCTCCGAGCCAGGGGTGCATGCCCTGTCTCAGTGGGGCAGCCGCGGCCCCTCCCCCGTCTCAGCATCTGGCCAGACGCACACTCCCTCTCGCGAGGTGGCCAGCAGCTCGCCCCACGCCCTCTGCAGACGCAAGAGCGTGTATGAGGCGGCTCCGAGGCTGTCCCCAGGCTGCTAGGGCTTCCCAGAGAGCGAGTCCTCTGCCGTTCTCCCCGGGTCCCCACCAGGCATCGCTGACAGTGAGCAGCGGCACTCCTACGGCTGACACGCTCTCCGAGCCGGAACCTCAGGATCTTCCTCCAGTCGCAGTGCCCACAGGCGCGGGCAGGAGGCTGGGAGGCCCAGCCCGTCGCCCCACCTGCACAGAGCCGTGGGCCTTTGGCCCGGGGTCCCTGCTGCCGCCCTGCCTCTCCAGGGAGGACAGAGGCGCACAGCTCTGGGGAGGATGCGGCCATCGACACAGACCTGCTGCCCTGTGCTCAAACAGCCACCTGACGTGCCCGTGGGGTCTCCGGTTACAAGGTGCACGCCAACTGTGCCCGTTACAGGGTGAAAGGAGGACTGAGCTGCCCAGAACCATCAGAGGGAGGTGCCTGTGTGGTTCACAGGCAGGAAGAGAGACCTGCTGCTCCCACCTGCCCGCCCCTACTGTGCCACTGGGGGTCCTGCCCCTGGGCCCAGCCTTGGGGCCACCTCTTGGAGACCCCCGGCGGCCGCCTTAAACAGTGCTTCCCAGGATTTCCTCCTGCTGGCTGTTGCCTCGGAAACACCTAAGGCTGAAGCCACCCTGTGAAGGGGCAGCCTCAGGCTGCATCTGTTCATGGGGTCCCACAGGCCGGGAGCCTCAGGCTGCATCTGTTCATGGGGTCCCACAGGCCGGGACCCAAAACGCTGCCCAGGCATCAAAGAGCAGAGAGGGCTCGGTCCAGAGAGCAGAGAAGTGAGTCTCCGCCCTCACCCGAGCTGCCAGAGCACGCTGCCGCTGGGAGTCTCTCCAAGTAAAAGGGACACCCTCGGGGGCAGAGGGCAGGAAGAAACGGACCCGGTGTCTCCCGCATCGCCAGAAGGTCCACCCGGGCCCCCCCCCCCCCGCCTCCCACGCCTGTCGGCAAGGGTGCCCCGGGGCTTCCGGTTCGGTCAGAGCCCAGCAAACCCGGGGAGCAACTGCGATAAGCCAGCCTGGCTGGCGGGCCCCTCCCTCGGAAAGAACTGCAGGTGGCGATAGCATCTGGGCCCCGAGCACGTCCCCAGGTAAGAGCACACCCAGCGCAAGGCCAGGCAGACAGGGCGCCCGGAGTCTGAGCCGGAGACTGGAGCCGCTCGGCTGGCCCTTGCGCTTCTGAGCCGGCCTCCCTCTGCCTCTGCTCCTCCTCGGCCTGGTGCGCCCGGAGACAGACTCAGCTTCCACCGCGTCGCTCCGGTGACAGAAACCCCGAGTAACCCTGCTGCACAGACAAGAGCGTGTGTGTGCCCGGCGCTCTGAGGAGAGGAGGCTGCGGCCGGTCCCCAGCCAGCAGGCCTGTTGTCCACGGAGAACGAGGGGCAGCCGGGCCGGCTGCCCGGGGCGCTGTCACCCACGGCCACTTGGGACGGCGGAAGGCACGCGGCTGTGGAATGAGGACAGACGGCCTGCCTACGGAGGGAGCCGTTTCTCATCGCCCCGAGGGGCCCGCGTCTTGGATAGCATTGGGGTGTGGCTCCCAGTGGGGGACCTGTGGCCACGTCAGCCTTTCCGAGCGCCTGGCTCCTACAGGCTGGATGTAAATTGCCGCTAACGCCTCTCTGACGGCCCGGACTGAGGAAATATGGTCAGGAGTCATTTTCAAAGAATTCTGATTGCTCCAGGACATTCACGTGAGGCTGAGTCTCAGGCTGCACACCAGGTCGACAGGACCGGCCGCCTAGCCGAGCTGCCCGCCCCCTGAGGGTGCGCTGCCTGGCCTGGCCTCCTGGGCCACTCCCCGGTCCCTTGGTGTCAAAGGGTGCACCGCTGTTGGGGCCGTGGAGGCTCTGCCAGCCAGGCGTGGGGCATGAGTGCCCGTGAGAGGGGAGAGTGGGCAGGCCCAGGAGCTGATGCCTGAGAAGCTGAGGGGGAGCTGGTGCTGGCTGAGTGGCCAGGGGAGGCGACCACCTGTGCGGACGGCGGCGAGGGCGAGGCTGCGGCGGCCCTGGTGCGGCAGCGGGCCGAGCGTCTGGCTCAGAGGCGGGGGCTGAAAGGTGAGGTCGGCGATGTGTGTTCAGCTCCGTGGGAGCAGGGTGCTGGTTTCTCGCTTCTGCCGGCCTTGTGTGAACTCACACTCGTGCGCGCGTGCCCCAAGCTGCTGCTCTGCCCGTGCCTGCATCCCACCTCCCTGGAGACCACGACTGCTGTCTGCAGGCGCCCCTGAGCTCAGCTCCTCCCCCAGGCCCCACTCCCGGGGCAGCTGTGAAGGCGGCCAGGACGTAGGGCAACTGCAGGAGTGCCGCCGCCGTGCCCCGACCCGCACCCGGGCCCAGTGCACAGCCCCGCGGTCCGGCGTGCGCCCCCTCGGGGGTCCGCTCCACGGCCACGCTCGCTTGGCGGTGACAGGGCCCCGGCCCCCGCCCCTCCCGCCCTGGTTTCCTCTCCCGGGCGCCAGCTGCCAGGGCCCTGGGAGGAAGTTCCCACTGCAGCTTCCTGTGTGGAAGGAGGTCTGGGGGGTGGGGGAGGGCCGCCCCTCGTCCTCCCAGCGCCTGGGTCGGCTAGGCCCCTCTGGGCTGCACGCAGTGCATTTGTTAGGTCTTTCCGACAGCCTCGCATGGGTCTGCTAAAAAACTGGGGAAACCGAGGCAGGAAATGATGGACGCTGTGAGTCTGGGTGTCTGTGAGGTGGAGACACCTGGAGACTGAGGGGCGTGGAACTGCTGCGCCAGCTCCCGAGTGCACGGACCGGGCTCAGGTTCCCTCCTGGGGGGCTGGGGGGTCAGGCCCGGGGTCCAGGCGCTGCCAGGCTCAGAACTGCCTTCCCGCAGGGAGGGGGCTCCTGGGGCTGGGCTCTTGCTGGGGCGCAGCCACTAGGCCCCTGCCTGTCTGTCCCTCTCCATCGCCCAGGCCTGAGGCCACTGCTGCCCCACCACCCGCCGCTAGGGGAGGGGGCTGCTGTTGCTTGGGCGCCCACCCTGCACGCACTTTCGGGCCTCGGGCGGTGGGCAGAGAGCCCTGGAGGGCCTGTCAGTCGCCAGTTTTCCTGCCAGCTTACCCTTCCTTGGCCTGGCCAGCCCCCTACCACCCCCCCAACTCCAAACCCAGGTCCCAGTCATCCGGGGCTGCAGGGGGCCCAGCGCCCAGGCCTCCTGAGCTGTCCTCAGGCCTCCATGCCATTTGACAGCTGGCTCCCCAAGAGGCGGCCTGTGGGCACCCACGAGGGGAAACCAGTGGCAGAGCTGGGGCCATGGGACCTCCAGGCGGCGTGGGGAGCTGTCAGAGGGGCACAGGCCAGAGCTGGGGCCCCCCTGTGTTCACCGCCAGGACCCCGGCCTGGAGTCAGGCACCTCCAGCCTCTGCCTGGAGCACCCAGACCCTGGCCAGACCACCCTCGCCCCGCTCAGGAGGAGGCCACATGGCCCAGGGGCGGAGGCTAGCCTGCAGGACGTGGGGATGGTGCCCTCTCGAGAACTAGTTACCAGAGCCCTGAGGGTCCTGGGAGCTGGCGCGCGGGAGTGCGTGGGAAGGGCGGCGGTCCTCCTGCTGGTGACACACGGCCCGGCTGCGGGTCCAGGAGGAGAGGGCCCTGCAGACAGCTCAGTCCTTGGACAGACAGCTGGGGGTGGGAGGAAGGGCAGTGCACACAGGCCCAGAAATCACAGCCCCTGCGAGTCCCGTGGCAGAGGAGCCTCTGCCTCAGTCGGAAGGCCTGGCCGCCGGGTCTGAGGGTCCGAGGCGGCACTGACGACACAGGTGGGGCTCCATCTGTGTCGAGCCTGGAACTCTGGCCTCTGGAACCGCCTCCCAGCCTCCCTCTAACGGGTAAGTTTGCTGGAGTCCCGAGGCGCCCCTCCCCCCTGCAGAGGCCGGGACCACGGCTCTGCCCTGAGCAGGGGTGTCCAACCTGCACCCAACACAAAACTGTAAGTTTACTTAAAACATTGAGTTTCCTTCGTGATTACATGTCATAATGTGTTTACTGTGTGGCCCAAGACAACTCTTCTTTGAGTGTGTCCCAGAGACGCCACAAGGTTGGACACCGCTGCCTCAGAGGTTCCCATGGGCCCTGGTCCCCGGCAGTGCATGGGCAGGGGGCCCGGGCACATGCTGCAGGTGCTGGGGTCCGGTGGGGTGCAGTGCCCCGAGCCGCACCTGGGTGCCTGTCCTAAGGAGCCGGGGGCAGGTGCTGCGGGGGCAGAGGGGAGGCGGCGGTGGGATTGAGGAGGTGCCAGCCCAGCCGAGAGTCCTGAGGGGCGGGCGGGCAGGCAGGGGTGGGGTGGGAGTGGGAGGAGAGGCCCACAGGGCCCTCACCCAGCCAGGCCCCTCCAGCTGAGGGGACGCAGCAGGTGACGGGGACACTGGAACCCCCTCCACCCCTGTCTCTGGGCCCTTCCTGGAACCCTGTGTTGCCCAGCTGAGTTCCAAGTTCCTCTTTCTCAGGAAGGAACAGGCTTGATACCTAGAAGCCGTTGCCCGCCTGTGCCCCGCCTGTGCTGGAGGGGGTGGGGGAGCGGCCACAGCACTGTGGTCAGGCCCTCCCTCTTCCCCAACCACTCCCTTTCCCAGCTCACAACCCTGAGCACTTGGAGGAGGGGCTGGCTGCAGGGAAATGGGACCAAGGAGGAGGCGGGGCCAAGCCCAGCAGCTGGGAGGTGAGGACCTTCCGCCCTCTCACCCCTCCGCCTCATGGGGCTGAGGGTGAGCGGTCCCCACTCTGGAAAAGCCGCACGCCTGCATTTGTAGAACAAGGCAGCTCTAACAGCTGCCATTGCCCCCCATCTCTGAGTAAGACCGGCAGAGACAAGGTGCCCCCACCCCAGGAAGCACGCTGGACAGTGGCCCGGCGGGCCCTCTTCCGACGGAAAGTGGAGGGACACTGGCCCTTTCAGCCCGTAACCTGCACCCGACACCGGAGTCACCCTCGCAGCTGATGCCGACTCTGCCTGGGCCAGTTCACAGCCCTGTCCAGGGGCGGCCAGGGGGGCGAGCAGCGGGGTCCTGGTCTGCCCCCCGGGCGCTCAGTCCCCACCTCCACGCTCGCCCGCCTGCGCAGGCGGGGGCCGCGAGGCCCAGGAGCACTTCAGGGAAACTCTGGGCAGGTCTCACGCCACGGGACGCCTGCCCAGGACAGGGCGCCTTCCCAGGACGGGAGCCCGTCTGAGCCCGAGCTGGATGTTTGCCGCTGCAGCCGATGCCCTCGGGGGTGCAGTCCCTGTCACCCTCCCCCCGCAGCCACAGTGGGGGCTTTGGGGCAAAGGGGCCTGCAGCGGCCTGCTGGAGGAGCTCCTCCCTCCCTTCACGGGGACACCTGCTCCCACTGCGCTGTGCTACGCTGCTTCGGAGCTCTCGGTGCACCCTCCCTGCCGCCCCGGGGAAGCTCTGGCCCCCTCCCTGAGGTCCAGCTACGGCCCAGAGGGCCGACTGTGTGTCCTGGGTTCCCACCCACAGATCTCAGGGGAAAGGAGCTCCTGACTGCAGTGTCCCACACACGGGCTTGGGCTGCACAGGGCTGAGGCCACGGCCAGGCCACCGAGGGGGCAGGAGGGGCAGGTGGGAGCAGCCTGCGACACTGGCCTGCCCAGGCACAGCCCCTCGTTTGAGAGGGCGGTAAACAGACAGAGAGGGGCCGTGGAGCCTGCCAAGCAAGGCAGACACAGAGGGGTGCGCATCCTCACGGTGCCACCGCGGGCTGCGCAGGGGCCTGGGTGCCCAGGAGCACGGAGCCTCTCTGTGCCGGGGCGGGGCCTGTGGGACGGGAGGAATGGGAGGGGCTGGGCGCGTCTTCCGGCCGTGGCCCCTGGCAGTGGGTGCAGAGCTGCGCCTTTCACTAGTGAACCCCCCCAATGGGGGGCTGCGGCCCCCCAGCCCACGGCAGGGAAGGCTGACAGCAGGAGCAGGTGGGGGCGTCCTGGGGGGGCTCCAGGGGTCCTCGAAGACCGTCTGGGCCGGGCCAGGCCAGGCCAGGCCAGGCCAGGCTGCGGTAACAGGGTCCGCAGCAGCCACAAGGGTGCAGCACTTCCTCAGAACTGGAGCCCGGTGCGGTCTGCCGGACAGAGGACAGAGCCCATGCCCTCGCCCTCCTGGCGGCTCAGCGGGCTCCAGCAGGGGCCGCCTCCCTGCCCTGGGGTGGCTCTGCCCACGCAGCCAGCCCCACAGGCCGAGGAGCACCGTCCCGACGGGAGGACCTGCCCCTCGCCGTCCCTCTCGGTGGGGGGACGGCAGCACAAGTGGGGGAACGGCTGGGCCCGGCCGCTGGCGCACTCGTCACCGTCTGACACCCGCTGGGCTGCCTCGCCCTCGGCGTCCCTCCCGGCGGGCCCAGGGCAGCCAGATGGCGCTGAGGAACCACGCGGATGCGCGCCTGCCAGGGGCAGGAGGACGCTGCCAAGCACTGTGCCTCCAGCCCTGTCCCCCACGGCCCGAGGGGGCGGGACACGGCAGGCAGCTGCGAAGGGCTGTGGGACACAGGGCGGGGCCGGCGCCCGCTCGGTGGGCTGGCTGTGGCTGTGGCCTGAGCCCTGGACCCAGCCCAGGTCTGGATGGGCGCGCTGAGAGGGCTGCTCCGGGTCTACAAGCAGAGACGGGCTCGGGCCCAGCGTCTCTGAATTCGAGGCTCTCCTCCAGAGGCTGGTGACATCTGCCCTCCCTGCCTGTTCTCCCCCAGGCCCCACACTGCGGGTGGACGGGCCACCCTGGGCCACCTGCCCACGCAGGGCCTGCGAGGCAGAGGTGCAGGGACGGGGTCCCCCACAGACGGCCTCCTGAGCGCCGTGGGACCAGGCCTCAGGCACCCCTGCGGCCCCCTCTCGGGCCTCCCACCCACACAGCCAGCCCTCCCCGGAGGCAGTGCTTCCAGCCCGCCCAGGCGCCGCGAGACGGGGTTGGGGGCAGGCAGAGGGGCTGTCGATGCCCACACAGGCTGGGCAGAGTCCAGGCTGATGCCGGAAGGCAGGGCTGTGTGCCGGCCCAGCCCTCCCCGCACTGCAGGCCTCCCTGACCTTGGCTGAGTCACACCTGTCACGGCAAGGCCTGGGACAAACAGCACGTGGGGTTTGCCCCTAGGTGCCCTGTGGTCTGTTCCGGCTGGCCTGCGGGCACCCTGACTCCCCATCCTGCTCTCCAGGGACAGCGCCGGGGGGGGGGCGCGCAGCACGGAGCCTGGGTCTGAGTCCCGACCCAGGCCAGCAGGGGCCCTGCAGAGCGTCCTCTCCTGGTGGAGAGAAGCCCAACTCAGCCAGGTGCTCCGAGGGTGAGCAGGCGGAGCGCCTCCCATGGCCAGTACACAGCGGCCCCAAGAGGAGCAGGGACCCATGCCCCCTTGCCCCCCTTTCGCCCAGAAACAGGGTTAGGAGGCTGGCCGCGCTGCAAAGATCCTGAAGCACATGACTCCCCAGGCACTGGCCCTGCCTGGGGCCTGAGATGGGCAGCCTGCAGCGGCTCTCGCAGGAAACTCCGGAGACAGTTTCTGGCCGTCCCCAAGCTCCCCCGAGCGGCCTGCGGGCCCAGGGCTCGGCTCCAGGTAACAACGGACCCCCTCTCCCCCCTCTCCTCTCCCCACAGCCCGCAGCGCCCGGCGCCATGTGGAGCTGCAGCCCGCTCAACGGCACGGGCGGGGGCGAGGACCAGCCCCTCTGCCAGCACGCCCAGCTGGCCCTGTCGGCCGTCTCCCTGCTCTACCTGGCCGTGGGCGTGCCCGTCGGCCTGGGCTGCAACAGCCTGCTGATCCTGGTGAACCTGCACGAGCAGGGCAGCATGGCCATGCCCGATGTCTACTTCGTGAACATGGCCGTCGCGGGCCTGCTGCTCAGCGCCCTGGCGCCCGCGCTCCTGCTGGGCCCCGGCGCCTCCGGCTGGGCCCTGGGGGGCTCCGGCGGCGAGGCCCACGTCACGCTGCTGGTGCTGTTCGACGTCTGCGCGCTGGTGACCATGTACTGCACGGCCCTGCTCAGCCTGGACTACTACATCGAGCGGGCGCTGCCGCGCACCTACATGTCCAGCGTCTACAACAGCCGGCACGTGTGTGGCTTCGTGTGGGGCGGCGCCCTGCTCACCAGCTTCTCCTCCCTGCTCTCCTACATCTGCAGCCACGTGGCCGCCCGGCTGGCCGAGTGCGCCCAGATGCAGCACACGGAGGCTGCCAGCGCCATCATGGTGCTCATTGGCTACCTGGTGCCCGGCCTGGCCGTGCTCTACGCCCTGGTGCTGGTCTCGCGCATCCGCAAGCAGGACACGCCCCTCGACCAGGAGTCAGGGAGGCTGGACCCCTCGGTGCACCGGCTCCTGGTGGCCACCGTGTGCACGCAGTTCGGGCTCTGGACACCGCACTACCTGACCCTCCTGGGGCACACGTCCCTGGCCTTGTGGGGGCGGCCTGTGGACGAGCAGCACCTGGGGGTGCTGCTCTTCGCGAAGGACCTGTCCAGGTGCCTCGCCCTCTCCAGCAGCGCCGTGACGCCGCTGCTGTACCGCTACATCAGCAGGAGCTTCCCGGGCAAGCTGCGGCGGCTGATAAAGAAGACCCCCTGTGGGCGCCGGAGCTGCTCCGAGGACCAGCCGGGGGTCCAGCAGGTGCTGGCGTAGACGGCTGGCGGCACGGGTGGGCCCACGGAGGCGGCGCCGGTGCGTGGCCTGCGGGCAGTGCCCGGTGCCCAGGCCAAGCCTGTCGCTCCCTCCTGCTACCGGGGTCTCGCATCCTGGGGGACCAGGTGGCTGACGCCTTGGTCCCACGCACGGCACTTTGTCACCTGCACACTCTGCTGCTCTCCCCCCGGCGGGCACACTGAGGCAAGGACACACAACAGCACAAGGCGTGTGCTCTTGACCCTTCCTGTGTTCTTCCGGGGCTCCCTGGCCCCCGAGGCTGTGCGGCCCGTGCCCCGCCAGCCCCGCCCCGGCCCGCGCGCTCGGCCTCCCAGCAGGGCTTCCCGGTGAAGTGGCGGGAGTCAAGGCCCGTGTTTGCACTGTGCAGACCGGTCGAGTACTTGACCCCCACCCACGTAACGTCTGTCTGTACAAAGAGGGACGTCTGCAAGAAAGCGCACAGAGTATTAAAGTGAAGGAAGCAGAGCAGAGCGTATGTCGGTGGGAGTGGGCGTCCGGCGCCACGCAAGGGTCCCGTGGAGGACGAGGGTCCCGTGGAGGGCGAGGGTCCCGTGGAGGACGAGGCCGGAGCTGCGCGGGCACGCGTCCAGAGGCGCCGCGGCTGGGCCTGGAGGACGTGCCTGTCACACCCGGGGTGACGGCGCGTCTCACCGAGGAAGGGGGAGTTGGCCGGGCGGGCGTAGGCAGGTACCCTCAGTGCCTGCTCAGACCTGCTTCCAGCCCCCGCAGGCGGAGGTGGGTGCTCCCCGGGGCAGACCCCCCGGGGCCCAGGAGGGGAGGCCGCAGGCGGGCTTCCCAGGGAGGCCAGGGTCCCGCTCGCCCCCCTCCCCCGCCTGCCGACCAACACCAGCTGGGGGGAGGGAGTGCACGTCCCTCAGAAACTGTCCCCTGTGGACGCTGAGCCCCAAACCCACACACCTGCACCCGCGCACACACGCTCGCGCGCACGCTGCCCAGGAGAGGCCCGCCCTGCCTCGGGTGTCGGGAGCGGAGGGGCGCGGACACGGTTCCCCTCGGCGAGGGCGAGGGCGAGGCGGTCGAGGACGCGGCAGCTCCCCGCGGGGTTTCGGTCTCCCGGCCTGACGCCTGACCAGGGGCCGCCCGTCCAGGGCAGCGGGCGCTCCGGGCAAAGGGGCAGCTGCTGGGAGGCGACGGGGCACGCCAGGGGGCCGCTCCGCTGAAGCCCTCAGAAGGCCCCGGGGCTCCGGCCTCTGCGTGGCTGGGACTGCCCGCCAGCCTGCTGCTGGAGGAGGATGCAGTGGGCGGCGCCCGGAAGGGGGGCAGGTCAGCAGACAAGCCCACACCTGTCCAAGGGCCCAGAAACCCTCTCGGCGGTTCCCTGCCACGGTCCAGTCCATCCAAAGATGCCCCCACCCCCCGTCCCAGATTCCACAGGTCACGTGAGGCCACTAAGGGGTCCAGGGACGGAGGAGGGTGCCCACAGGATGGCCGTCAGCACCACGGCCAGCGCCACCCAGAGGCCTGTCCCCACCCTCTGCCGGCTGAGAGGAAGGGACGCAGGCCAGCCCTTCCCCCAGACAGCAGGGCTGGACGCACAGCCACCACCATGTGTGGCAGGAGCCGGGCGGCCGGCTGGGCCCCACAGCATGGCCCTGCAGCGGCACTAACCGTCGCTGCACCGTGCTGCCGGAACAGCCGCTGCCGGCACTGGGGACACACCCCACACACGGCTGTGGTTCCACACGTCTGTGGGGCGTGGTCCTGGCAGAGGGTCCCTGCAAGGGGCGGCAGGAAGTGACCCAGAGTGCCGCGGCCGCTCACCACGCGCCGGCAGCCACGGGGCTGAGGGAGTGCACGTCTCACCCTTGTGGATTGGAGTGGTCAAAAGCCTTGGGGGGGGGGGCGTGGAAAAGGGCGGCTGGCCAGGCCACAGGGAGAGCTGGAGGCCTTTTAGGGCCCAGGGCTCAGGCAAGAAGGCCCTGGGCCCGAGCGGAGGCAGCACAGCACCAGAGCAGGAGGAAGGCCACCGCCTCCCAGGCCAGAGTCCCTCCTCCAGCAGAGCCGGCCCCACCCACAGGGCACTCTGGCCCTGCCTCTCCCACCCCCAGGCAGGGCCTGGGTCTCCCTAGTCTGCCTGCCCCACTGTGTTGCAGGCCCTCACAGCAGCTCGGGGCCCTGGACGGATGAGGCCTGGGCCCCCGGGGTGCTCAGCAGGGGTGAGGCTGGTGGCCATGGGGCCAGTGACCAGGCACTAGTCTCGTGGGAGCTGGGAGGCCGCAGCCGGAGAGACGGACAGGAGCCCTGCCGCCCCTCCAGCCTCCGGCTCCCCGCCCCCAGGGCAGAGGAGCCTCAGGGGTCCTCACTCCCCCAGGAGGCCTCCCCACCCCTGAGCAAGCTCCAACAGGCCCCTTGGACCCGGGCTCGCCCCACGGACCTCCCGTGGCTGTGAGTGCCGTCAGGGACCCCAGACAGGTGGGCGCTGCTTAGAAAGTCCGGCCGCAAGCGTACACCCCTGCAGGGCGAGCCCCACTGCGGAAGGGACCCAGCTGCACAGCGGGAGAGGCGGTGAAGAGGAGTCGCCGTCCCCAGGGCCGGTCAGGGGACAGTAGAGAGGGCGCCCTCCCCTCTGCCGGGCAGAGCCTCGCTCCTTCAGGACCTGGGGCGCCCGGACCTGCTCGGGACCGCGCTGACCCCGCACCCGTCCTTGCCATGCCTTCCAAGACTCCTACCTGCCTGGTGCCGGCCTCCAGACAGGCGCAGCTCCGGCGAGCCGCGGACCAGACACAGCAGGAACTCCTCCCGACGGGCCTCCAGGCACCGCGCCCCGGCCCTGCCCAGCCGAGCAGGGTGCTGCATGCAGGCCTGCGGGCAGGGGTGGGGCGCGGCTCCGAGCTCAGTGTGCTGGCGGCCGGACGCCCTCCTCCGGGGGTGCAGAGGGCAGAGCCCCGGAGCGTCCGCGGACTGCGGCCAGACAGACCGCGGGCGCCCCCCTTGTGCCGGGGTGGGGCTGCCTCCCGTGCTGCCGGCACATGCAGCCCTCTCCATCCGCACCAGGCTCCCCTCCCAGGCCCGTCCGAGGCTCTCTGGTCACGTGGCCAGACCGTACTCTGCGTCAGATGCAGCGTGTGGTTTGAATTAAGGCCGAGTTCCTGCCGTCCTCACAGGACCGCAGGGCTCCCTCCGCCTGCCCGCTCCCCGGGAGCGCGGGGGCTGAGGGGCGGGCCAGGCTGGCAGCAGCGACGACCAGGGGCCAGGGCTGCAGGGCTGCAGGGCTGCGGGGCACAGGCGCCTGTCACCAGCCCCCGCCCCACCCGGCCCCTCTGCCCTGCGGTGTACTCGACTCGCTGCACTGGGACCGCGGCGGCCAGTGGCCTGCTCGTCCGGAGAGGGTGGCCGGGGGGGTGGCCGGGGGACCCAGTGCCGTCTCCTGAGCCATGGCTGGGACGGGTCTGTCACCTGCTGCGCACGAGCCGCCGCCACTGGGCTCCCCCCTCGGGCGGGCCTGTCTGCTGCACCCGTTTTCAGGGGGGACTTGGCAAGGGACTGGCCTGGGTTCTCCCCAGGGACGGGGCCCCGACCTGGAAGCAACCGCAGCGTCAGGGAGACGGCAGACCAGTGCGGCCGTCCTGCTCAGCACCGAGGCTCTGGCCCTCGCACACCCCAGGCGAGTGTCCCTGCGCGGCGTGGACAGGGAGCCCCGACGGTCCTTGCCTCACCCTCAGGCCGGGCTGCGCCCCACGCGGCCGTGATGCACAGCTGGCCACGGCCAGAGGGGCGGGGCGGGGCCCCCAGCTCCAGCTGAGCGTGAGTGACCCAGAGTCCCGGCACTGCGGTCGCCTCCAGTGGTAGGAGGGAGGGTGGTGGAGACGCCTCCCGGCGTGGGCCGTGGGCCGTCAGGGGACAGAGTTGAGCGCGACGGCCCAGGGAGACTCAAGTCCAAGACCACGGGTGTCCAGGCGAGCGTGTGCTCGCAGGGGTCTGAGCGGGGCCTCGCCCGCCCAGCCCGCAGAGTGCCCGGGCGACCCGCAGCTCCACCCGCTCCCCACACTGACGACGACGATGACGGCGAGCCTCCCCGGGGCCAAGCTCGGGGGGCGCCCGGGGACCCTGGTCCTTGGCTGGAGACCGGCCCCACGCGAGCCATGGGGTCGGCCTCGGAGGCTCGTCCCGTCCTCCCGGGGACCCCGAGCCCCAGGCACGCGCCTCTGCTTCTCCTAGACCCTGCGGCACCGGCCTCACAGGGCCCGGCCCGGCCACCACACCCGACGGCCACGTGCGCGGGGAAGCACGACTCACCGGGAGAAGCGGCGACCGCGCCCCCAGGCAGGAGGACGCCCGTCACACTCAGTCGGCGTTGCTGGCGAGGGCCCGGCCTGGAAACGGCCCGCATGCGCTCACAGGCAAGCGGAGGGGCCGCCACGGCGCCTGGTCCTGCGTGGTCCGGTCCCGCTCGGCAGCCAGGATCCGGCCCGCAGGCCGCGGCGGGTCCCCGTGCGCGAGGCCGCGGGGTGGCACCAGACGCAAGGGCCACGGCGACAGCCGTCCTGGAGAAGTCGAGCTCGGGGACGGGAAGCAGTGGTGCCGGGCCCGGGGCGCCGGGCGCGCTGGCTGCCCAGGACCGGCTGGCGGGCAGGGGCGCTGCTGGGCCCAGGCCCCCGCACGGCCCGCAGCCCCGGCCGCGGGCACATCCATCCCAACAGCGAGCGCGCAGGCTCCCGGGCTGGACGTCTAGGGCCGGGCCCCAGGCGTCGCTTGCGTCCGTGTTCCCTGCGACGGCGCCTGCCTCGCAGTGCCGTGAGGGCCGACCGGTCGCACAGCCACCCAGTGCTCCGGCGGGCCGGGGGCCGGGGCCCCAAGACCTGGCGGCCCCAGTTCACCGATTCTAAGCCTCAAGCACAAAACTGGGGGGCAGCCGCAGGACCCCAGTGGTCCCTGAGCGGACCCCGCGGCAAACGCAAAGGTGCGGCAGCGGCACAGGGCAGGGTGCACTGGTGGCAAGCAGCTATTTTTAAGGGACATGTGGGCTATTTCCAGGTTTGAGCTTCACTGTATTTATTTATTTAACCGAAGAGGAAGCCGGACTTTCTCACGGCTCGTTTCTCCCGAAACGGTGGCTGAGGCGCTGGCCGGCGTCTGCCGCTGCCCGGAGCGTGTCTGGACGGGGGCCGCCCGACGCACACCCAGTCGCCGGCCAGGAAGCCACCGCACGGGCCTCGCGGCCGGGACGCTGCAGCCGAAGGGGCCCTGCGAGCCGGAGACGGAGACGGCGTGCAGAGCCCTGCTGGGGACGTGCGTGTCCCACAGACGCCTCCGAGGGACGTCGCGCCCCGGTCCAGCGCGCCTCCCAGCCCACCCGCAGCCGCCTCGCAGGGGACAGGTCCCTCCGAGCGCGGCCTCGCGGTCCCGGCAGAGTGGGGAGGCGAGAAGATGACGCCACGGAGAGCGCGAGGTCCGCTGACACGTGTGCGCGCGTGGGGCCGCGTCCCTGGGCACGGCAGCCTGCGCACACGGGCCCCGCAGTCCCCGCCCGGCCGGGCCGGCCAGCCCGTCTCCGCGCCGGTGGTGCGGGGCCAACCGCCAGCAGGTGGTTCTGGGAACCGGGGCTAAGTCCCGCCCGACACCCAGGCCGCGCTGGGCACCAGGGGGCAGGGTGGGACCCTCGGCGGAGGAGACTTCCCAGGTCTGCCACCGAGACGGCCGCACGCCACGCCGGCGGCTTCAGGGGAAGGGGGAGGGGGCGGAGGCCCGGCTGACGCCGTCGGGAGAGCAGAAAATGACTCTAGCTCCTGAGTTCCTCGCTAAACTACTTGTTGCTTGGGTTTAAACTTCGTTCTGCAAACATCTGTGTAATTCCTAGGTTAAAGTCTCTGTATAATTCACATGCTACTCTCTAAACTGAGAAAACTGAGTGAGGTTTTTTTTACAATATTTTATTTATTTTTAGAGAGAGGGGAGGGAGGGAGCGAGAGACGGAGAGAAACATCAGGGTGAGAGAGCAGCACTGCCTGGCTGCCTCTCCAGCGCCCAACCGGCCGGGGACCGCACCCCCCCCCCGGCCCCCCGCAGGGACGACTCACTCTGAAGACCGACGCCCCGCCCGCGGAGCTGCGCCGCCAGGGCCAGGGCCAGGGCCAGGGCCAGGGCCAGGGCCCCGTTCTAAGGCCAGGCAGTTGCTGAAACAAGCGAGAGAATATTTGAGGCTTCAACAAATGATGATAGATCACCATCTAAAGGATAAACAAGACCTACTTACAACCCTTCCAACTGAACAGGACGGTCTCCGTGGGTAAAGGAGGCAGTGAGGCTGGAAACTTCCGTGAAGACGCCCGGCAGCACCGCGCTCACTGCCGCCGTGGGGGGGGCAGGCCGGCAGGGAAGGGTTAACGCGGCCTCCGGGGAGGCCCTCCCGCCGCGCGGCCCTGGGAGACCTATAAAGCCGCTCCCGGAGCCAGTGCCGCTGCCGCTGCCGGAGAGAGTGAGGGGCAGGCCTCCGCCTCCACGTGGGGCCAGCGCCCTGTGAGCACTCTCTGCGGCTGCTCCAGGGGACCCCGAGGCCACGAGGGTCCACCCAGAGAAAGCGCCAGGCCAGGTACCAGCTGCGGCACAGGTGAGTCCGTCCTGGGCTCTGCCTTCGGGGTGGAGAGCAGCCTGCTGAGGGCAACAGCTGGACACGGGCACGGGCAGACTGGGCAGGCGCCGGGACAGGGCCCCGAGGCTCCCGGCCGAAAACCCCAACTCAGCGCCCATGCCCCGGGGGGTGGGGGGGGGGGGCAGGACTGGCGCGCGGGCCCCTCCCTACCCCCCGTCGTGCGCAGCAAGGACGCCGGCCCCAGGCTGCCCCACGGGGCTCCGTGGAGGACCCGGCGCCCTGCAGGACAGGCCGGCCGACCGCCCTCCGTCCTCGCCTGCCCCGGAGCGCACGGGTGGCTGCTGCTCCTGTGCACAGACACAGCCCAGAGGGTCTGAGAAGGGTGCGGTCCCCTCCCTCCTCACCCCTCGCCCGAGGACATGCTCCCTGATTTCAGAGGGAGGGGAGGGAGTGGGGGAGGGGGAGAGAGTCGTGGATCGGCTGCCTCAATGCAGAACCGTCCCCGCAGCCCAGGCATGTGCCCTGACTGGGAGCCAGACCCGCAACCTTTCGGTTCCGGGGACAACGCCCAGCCAAGCCACACAGGCCGGGGCTCGTGTGGCCTCGTGTCTTCAGACCTGGACTAGCGGTGCAAACTGGAGACAAGGTGACCGCACACCCTCTAACGCAGACCTGAGTCTTTACAGCCCGTGGTCAGATTTAGCCCGAATTCCTGTGTCTTTGCCTCAGGCCACGCCCGGGATTTGTCAGGGAGCAGAGACCCCCCTCACACGGGGAAAAGGAAAGGACTCAGGAGTCCTCCCTCGCAGCCTCTCCCCCCCCACCGCGGGCGAGAGGCCGGGTGGCGGCTGCGGCCCTCACCTGTGACCTTCCCTCTGGCTGCAGCCCCGGCCGAGCCAGCGCCCCCTCCCCCCCCCCCCCCAGAGCAGGGCCCAGAGGCTGGGCAGCGTGCACCAGGGAGGGAAAGACAGAGGCTTCTAGCGCTGCGCCCACCAGCCCCGGCCAGCAGGGGGCACCGGCCGCGCCGAGGGGATGGCCGACGCCCCAGGCGCGGTGGGTAACCCCCCCCCCCCCGGGAGCCCCACTTCCGAGCAGCAGCCAGCAGACGCCTGGCCTGGTCTGGCAGCACTTCAGGAAATGGTCACTAATTGCCTCACAGAGTGGAGTGAAAAGTCTCAAACGAAAACACACTCCACATCCATTTCAGCCTCACCACTCACAGCCACTGCGGGTTCCTGGGCTGCAGCCTCCCTGGGGCGGGGGCGGGGGCGGGGGCGCAGGGCGGGGCCGTCCTGTGGCCGTCGGGTGTCCTTGCTGCCCAGGGCACCCCTCCCTCCGCACTGTGACAGCCCAAACCCAGGCACTGCCGGTGTCCCCGGCTGACACCGGGGGTGGGGGCGTCCCTTGGGGAAATGCAGCCCAAGACCAAACACCCCAGTTTTGACAGAGCTGCGCGGCCGCGGCCGGCACCACAGACGCCGGCCCCCCCCGGCAGAGGTGAGCCGGAAGGACGCTCTCCTTACCGGCTGTCTAGGTGACCAAGTGTCCGGTGACAAACAGCATCACAAAAGTATACGTGGTTTGACATCAATGTGTTGAAACATTAAGTAACATTTCAACAGTATTTCCCAAAGTAATCACCATTTTCATTCCTCGTTCTCCGACTTCCGTGCTGTAACATGAAAAAAGCTCCGTCTGCAGCACCTACACTCAGGACCAGGGCCGGCAGAGAGCCAGGTTCCTCTGGCCGCCCTGTCGCTGGGGAAAAGGCCCTGCTCCGGCCCGCGAGGCGCCCTCCCAGGAGAGCTGGGTTTTTCCCTTCCCGCTCACTCCCCTTCCCAGCAGCCGCGGGGATAAATCTTCCTTCCTCTCCGGCAGACAGTAGTTTTCCTAAGGTCCCCGAACCCCACGTCATCTGCATTACCTCACGAGCCTGCCATCCGACCGCCACAGCACAGCCTCCGGGCGAGGTGACGCACGGCCGCCCGCCCGCCCGCCCGCCCGCCGCTCAGACCCGCGGCTCCGGGCGCCCTGCGGCAGAGGGCGCGGGCGGTTTCTGCCTGTGCTGTCTCCGCCTCGGCTCGGAGACCGCTGTCCCTCCGAGACGACAGAAGCCTCGACTCTGCGGCGCTCGAACCCCGCAGAGTGACAGTCGGGGAAGGCTCACGCCCTCCTCTGCCTCCCCAGGTGCCCGCGGGGAGCGGGTCCGGCGGTGGAGCGCACCGGGGCTGCCCCGTGCAGAGGAGAAGATGGGCCTGCAGGCGGAGGCAGGCCTCTCCGAGCCCGGGCGCCGGCCTGGGAGCCTGCGTGCAGCGCAGACACGCGTGTGAGTTCCCGCGCCGCGCCCATCCTCGGCATGGAGACGAGCCCCGGCCCCCGCAACGGCACCCCCGTGGCGTTCGGCCTGTCCCAGGCGAACCGGACGGGCGAGCTCGCGGCGCACCAGCAGTACGCCGTCGGGCTCTTCCTCTCCTGCCTCTACACCATCTTCCTCTTCCCCATTGGCTTCGTGGGCAACATCCTGATCCTGGCGGTGAACATCAGGTTCCGGGACAGGATGACCGTCCCCGACCTGTACTTCATCAACCTGGCGGCGGCGGACCTCATCCTGGTGGCCGACTCCCTGATCGAGGTGTTCAACCTGGACGAGCAGTACTACGACATCGCCGTGCTGTGCACCTTCATGTCCCTCTTCCTGCAGGTCAACATGTACAGCAGCATCTTCTTCCTCACCTGGATGAGCTTCGACCGCTACCTGGCCCTGGCCCGCGCCGTGCGCTGCGGCCCGTTCCGCACCAAGCAGCACGCCAGGCTGAGCTGCGGCCTCGTCTGGCTGGCCGCGGTCTCCGCCACGCTGCTGCCCTTCGCCGCCGTGCACCTGCAGCACGCCGGCGACGGCTGCTTCTGCTTCGCGGACGTCAAGGAGGTGCAGTGGCTGGAGGTCACCTTGGGCTTCATCGTCCCCTTCGCCATCATCGGCCTCTGCTACTCGCTCATCGCCCGGGCGCTGGTCCAGGCTCACCGGCACCGGGGCCTGCGCCCCCGGCGGCAGAAGGCCCTGCGGATGATCGTGGCCGTGGTCCTCGTCTTCTTCGTCTGCTGGCTGCCCGAGAACGTCTTCATCAGCGTGCAACTCCTGCAGCGGACGCCGCCGGGGGCCTCGCCCTGCCAGCAGTCCTTCCGCCACGCCTACCCTCTCACCGGGCACATCGTCAACCTCGCGGCGTTCTCCAACAGCTGCCTGAACCCCCTCATCTACAGCTTCCTGGGGGAGACCTTCCGGGACAAGCTGAGGCTGTACGTCGAGCAGAAGACAAGCGTGTCGGCTCTGAACCGTTTCTGCCACGCGGCCCTGAAGGCCTTCGTTCCGGACGGCCCCGAGCAGCCAGAGGTGAGGCTCAGCAGTGTGGCGTAGACCCGGCGGCACCAGCCGGCTCGCGGCACCGCCCGGGGCCGGAGGCCACAGAGCACCGCCACAGACTCGCGTCCCACTCGGGCCCCCGGCCCCCCGCTGGCCGCCCGAGGCTGCCCCTGCAGAGGTGTGCGTGCCCTCCTCGCTCCCGACTGCAGGCCACAGGGGGACAGAGGGGCCCGGGGGCCGGCGTGGCCCGCACGTCCGCTCTGCGCCGTCCGTCCCTGTCGCGCAGAGTCCCTGCTGACGCGGGCCGCCGGGAGCAGAAGCGGAGGGTCGCTCTGGGTGCAGGGCCCCAGGCCCAGGGCAGATGCGCCCTGGGCCGGCCCCCGGGGAAAGGCGGGCTGGGGACTGGTCCGGACGGGACACTGCGGCCGCCCCCACGCCCGCAGTCCCCAGCAAGCCGTGTGCGAGCGCCCCCAGCCCGCAGGCGGCCGCCGGGGCCGGGAAGGCGCCTCTCTGGGGGCAGGAGACAGCAGGATAGAGCCCGTGTGCCGGCGGCGTCTCTGCCCCGCGTGCGTGTGCAGCGGCACGACGGGGTGCTCCAGCATGCGGGGGACGGTGGGAACAATGACGAACACGTCAGCAGTTCTCCCCAACATGTAAACACGTGACAGCTAACGGTTGCCAGCAGTGTTTGGCTTTCGTCAATTCCACTCCCATGCTGGTTCTTCTCGACCCTACGAGAGGTTCCCCAGTGGGGCGGGGTGGGGGGCTCCCCAGGCCTGGGCAGCCCAACCGCTCCTTCCTCTCCAGCGAAAAGCGCCCCCAGGCCCTCCAGACACCCTCCAGTGAGTGCGCTCAAGGCCCAGCGTCCAACGCAGCCCCTGGACACAGCGGCGTCCCCGGGCCTGACACACGCCGCACCAGCTACAGGCACAGACGCTCCACGTGCCCTGGCTCTTCCGGAAGGCTCCGCCTGGCAGCCCCGGCCAAGGTGTCCGCACTGGCTGAGAGCACTCGGCCCCCCACAGCGCCCCGGCTTCCCCGGGCGCGGCCCTCAGGGGTCTCCGCACAGGCAGGGCTGCCTGTCCCGGGGCGAGCCGCTCTCCATGTCGGCGGCCCCGCGTGAGCGCAGGCCTGAGCGAGCAGGCCTGTCCCGTGTGAGCGTGCGTGCTCCCCGCCTCATGGGCGTCTCCCTGGCTCGAGCCCCCTCTCGTGTCCGAGCAGGAGCACGCGGAGGCCCTCCCTGGGAAGAGTGCCCCACACCGGCTCTGGCCCCTCAGGCCCTCCTGGCGGGCGCGGGGTCACCTCGCTCTCTGAAAGACGCCCCCCCGCCCCGCCCCTCGGTGGCTCTGCCGCCAGCACAGGCCTGTCAGAGCAGGCGGGGCCGTCACCCCGGGTGCACGCAGGGCCCGGGGCCCCCGGTGAGCGTGGGCACAGGCTGGGGCTCCGGCATCGCGCACCCAACTGCACAGGGGGCCCGTCCCCCCGACGCCGTCACTGCCGGCTGTGATGGAGGGGGCGGACGAGGCCCGGTCTCTGGCCTCCAGCAGCGAGCCCGACGGGCCCACGCTGTCCGGCCTCTCAGATGGCAGGGCTGGCACTGGAGGGAGGGTCCGCGGCTGCCGGAGCCCTGCGAGGGCGAGGACGCAGCCCGGAGCTGCCGCGTCTCCAGCTTCAAGCCTGAATGCTCCCCCAGGGCCCCGGCGACCCCGGCGCCAACAGGCGGGAGCAGGCCGGGCCCCTCCCCAGGGCGCACCAGACCCACCGCGGGCGGCACGCAGTGGGTGCCTTCCAGGGGCTCCCGGGGCCCTCCTGCGTCCAGCCGAAACGCTCCTGCCCCTCCCCAGGCCTCAGCCGAGGGAGCTCCCAGCTGGGGTCCTGGGTCCACCTCGGACCCCACGGGACAAGCGGGTCCTTCTTGCCCTCGGAAGTCCCCTCCTGTTTCTGAGCGGCCTCCCCGGCAGGCGGCCCAGCAGGCACGTGCCCGAAGCACAGGTCACACGGGCTGGGCCTGGCTCCTGCCTCTGACCTCGCACTGCCCGAGCCCTGACCTGGAGAGCCGGGCGGGGCCGCTCCGAGGGCCCGGGAGACAGACGGACGGACGGCATGCAGGGTCGCGAGAAGGGCAAATGCGGCGAGGGGTCCCGGACGAGCCCGAGGGTGGGCCAGGGGGCCTCAGAGCCTCGTTGTACCGAGACCCTAGAGCTCCCGTCTGGGAGACAGACGCGGGGGGCCCCGGGCCCAGCTGGCCCACCCGGCCACGTGCAGACCTTCTGGAGAGCGCCGAGGGCCGAGGGCTCGCTTTCGGCAGGAGCAGCACGGGGTAGAACCAAGGCTTTGCCGCTCCCGCTCGCCCAGCCCTCTGGCCCCGCTCACAGGCCCAGAGCTTCGGGCAGCATCGCCTGTGGCCCCGGCCTGCTCTGTGCTGAATGTGCCCCCCGACCCCCCGTGAGGACAGGCACAGGCCCTGCCCTGCCCCGAGCCCGCGGGCAGGCCTCCGGGCGGCCGTCCGAGAGCCCGTCCCTGTTCCGCGCGCCAGAGCCCCCTGCGCAGGCATGGGGGTGCAGGCCGGGCGGAGCTGAGGGACTGCTCTGACTTCGAGACCCCCACAACCAGAGCACGTGCCGGAGCATGGCGTGTGCACACGAGTGTGCCCCAGGTGTGGGCGTGCAGACACACCGCCACACAAGCACGCGTGTCCGCAGCCCTGTCCACTCACAGGCGGCGAGCCCCGGTCTCCGACCCCTCGCCCTGGAGCCCTGGAGCAGCGCCGACGGGCCGGGGCGGGAGCCTCCCAGCGCGGTGTCCGCCACGCGGTGAGAAGGGCGCAGGCGGGGACAGGGCCACACGACAAAGCCCACCCCAGGGCCCGCTCCCCGCCTGCTTCTGGGGGCCGCCCAGGCCCCGCCTGCAGCTGGACACAGAGCGAAGGTGCAGTCAGCGGGCGAGTGCAGGGAGCGGGCCTGCAGCTCCCGGGCCCCTGCCCCACGACGCAGCGGTCTGCCCTCGCCCGGTCGGCCCCCGCCCCAGAACGAGGACACGGGGCGTGGGGGGTAGAGGGTCCCTCTGCCCACACAGCTGGGACCCCAGGCAACCCACGCATGGCTACCCCGGGCAGGCCCCGCCCCTGCGGGCTGCGAGATGACCCCGCCCCACGGCGGGCACTGGACCCCGGGACCCGTCCCCGAGCCGCAGCGGCTGCCTCTGCCCGTGGCTGCAGAGCCCCACCTCGGGGCCCGCGTCCCGCTGCGCTCCCGGAACGGCTGCGGAGCACCCCGCATGCGGAGCCCCGCGCCGGCCCCTGCCACCCTCCTGCTCACGGCTGACGTCCCACAGCCACACAGTGCACGCAGCATCACGTGTGGTGTCCTGCGGCCTCACACTGCGTGACGGGGGCCGGCCTGGCCACCGTGCCCGGCGAGGAGGGCCTGCCGCGCAGGCCACGCCCGAGGGCCGGCGGGGAGCCGGGACCTGGCCGCCCTGTGGGGTTCAGCCCCCGAGGGCATCACTCGGAGCACGGGCAAGAGCAGGTGGGCGGGGCCGGGAGGCCGGACGAGGCGCCCGGAGCCTCGGAGACAGGCCCCGAGAGTGGAGGCTGAGACCAGACACTGTTTACCCTGCGAACAGCGGGGGGCGAGCTCTGTGCCTGGGAAAACCGCTTCAAAGCAGCGGCTGTTTTCGCAGCTGCGGAGGCTCGGCCCTGAGAAATCTTTCATGCCACTACGAAAATAACCCTGAGAGGGCTGAACAAACACTCCGCCCGACCTGCCTACTCTCATACCATGGAGCCCTCGCTGGAGCCCGCCAGCGGGCCTGCGTGAGCAGGCCGGGACCAGTGACCCCCCACCGCCAGGGAGTGCCACCGTGACACACGCTTCCCTGACACACGTGGGTGGCCCCTCGCCGGGCGGCCGGGAAGGGGCGCCAGCCTCGCAGGGAGCGTGTCCCGTGTGTTGTCGCTGAGTGTCCTGGCGGCCGCAGGCCCTCGCCCGGCAGTCCCGGGACAGGGCAGGTGCGCGGCAAGGGGCAAGGCCACCTGGCAGGGAGCACCAGGGCCACACCAGCAGGGCGAGGACGGGCGCCGCCTCCCTTCGGGGCACGGCCGGCACCCAGGGTGGGGCAGTGGGGGCGGGGCGTGCCGGCTTCCCCCGCACGAGCTGAGCCTCCTCCTGCGTCTCCTCGGCCTCTCCCCACTCCTTTCCCCGGAGCCGGAGCAGCCGCCTCTCAGCTTCCTGGGGGCTCCACCCTGGCACCTCCCTGTGCACCGCAGGGCCGTTCTACACCCGCCTTCCGGCTTCTGGTGCTCTCTCCGCCGCGCGAACCTGCCTGTCCAGCTCCCGGCTCCCACGGCTTCCCTTTCCGTCAGCGCTTCTCCCGCTGGAGAGCACAGGCAGGGGACCTTTGTCCCTGCGGGGGTCCGGGACAGAGCGAAAGCCTTTGGGGGTCCTCACTTGCAGGTGCGCGCTGTTCCGCCTCACCCGCAGGCCCTGGGGACCCGGGACGGCGCTTTTCTGCCGTGGCCCGTCCCCCTGGGGGGCCTGTGGGTGGTGCAGCGCCTCTCTCTGCGGCAGGGCCCACGGCGTCCCTGGTCCACGCCGGTCCGTGCGTCTGCTTCTGGCCTGGGGCTGCCACGGTGGTCGCTGCGAGTCCAGGTCTGGGACCGACACAGCTGTCGGCGTGAGGGCCCGGGTGCGGGGCTCCCTCACCCCCGGCACCAGCTTCCTGCCACGTCTCTGTCCCGTGGGCAGCGTTTTCTGACTCACACCTGAAGGCACGTGGCTCTCGGCAGTTGAGGCAGAGCCGGAAGGGAGCAGGGGCCCACGGTCTGGGAGTGCTGGTGGTGGCGGGGGCTGTTTGTTCAGGGCAAGAGCTGTGACCAAAACCACCCCCGTGGGAAACACCGGACTCTCAGGGAGGACACACAAGGAGCTGCCGGCACGAAGAGCGTGTCTGCGATCAGCACGGAGGAGACGGACGGCGCGCCCGCTGGCCCTGGCGAAGACGCGTGGGCATTCTCGAAGGAGAAGCAAACCGTCAACACGGATGCAACGCACAGGCACCCTCCCCGTCACACGGGAGAGCGGGAGCACGTGGTGTGCCCAGGGCTGAGGGGTCCTCTCGGGGGGACGAGGAAGCACACCTGCCGTGAAGACACCGGGAAGGACGGGCCCAGGATACCGCTGCAGCACCGTCCAGGGCGGCGTCCAGCTTCCGGGTTCTTCCACATGTGCCTCTGTTCTCTCCCTCCCTCTCTCTCCCTCTCCCTCCCTCTCCCTCTCCCTCCCTCTCTCTCCCTCTCCCTCCCTCTCTCTCCCTCTCCCCCTCTCTCTCTCCCTCTCTCCGTGAACACTGGTCGTGTATAACTCAGGAAAAACAAGAACACTCCTTTTTTGAAATCACGTCTTGCCGAGTTACTTTCTGCTGACCACACGGAAGCAGAGCCCACAGACACCTCCCTGGCTGACTGCAGCAGCAGCTACGGCCTTAGATGCGGCGAGAGGGAGGCTGGGAAGGGGCGGAGGGCTCCTGTTGCCTTTGGCCTTTGAAGGAGGACGGCCAGGCCCCCATGACGGCAGGAAAGCCACTCGGCTCCCAGCCCCTGGGCAGCCCCTCAGGTCTCGTCGATGGGCTGAGACCCCGTTTCAGCGACTGAGGGGCTCACGTGCTCGTGGCCGGCCCACGGGCAGACCGCGTGTCTGTGACCCCAGGCCCCACCTTTGCTTCCGAATGATGCCCAAAGCTCCTGGAGGCCAATGGAGCCAACCACAGCCTGCCCCAGCCTAAGGGGCGGAGCTCTGACGTAGCCTGTGCCTGTGCCCGGGACAGTGTGGCTGTCCCCCGCCAGGTGCGACGTCCCCCGCCAGGTGCGACGCTGCGTCGGAGGGCTGGTGAACAGAACAGCCAGGCACCCACTGCTGGCTCGCTCCCAGGGTGCGAGGAAGTGAAATGGGACACCCCCCACACACCAAGTCACCCGGCGGCACCTGGGGGTCCCGGGGCTCTCCCCACAGAGGGGGCACACCCACAGCTGCCCTCAGCGGCTTCGCTTGTCAAGGCAGCGCTCTGGGAGCCGCCCGCAGGCCCTTCGCTCGCTGGCGGAACAGGCGTAGAGGGTGGCACGCGGGAGCCGCGGGACGAGGGGGCCTCTGTGCCGTGACAGTGACGGTGCTCACGGAGACCCGCACCCGGGACACCAGGGCAAGCCCAGCGGCCCCCAGGTGGGGCCCGCCCCCAGGCCCACTTCCTGGCTATGACACCACGGTCCCTTCTGAATGGGGGCCCTCCCGGTAACCGCTCTGCGACTCCCTGTGTACCTACCACCGTTTCAGAGGCAACTTTCCTGTGAGCCACCACGACGGTGAGCACCCAGCGGCACCGCCCTCCCCGGGCCTGCACACGCACGCTGTCGCAGGGGCTCGGCCACCCAACGCGCCACCCAACGCTCCGAGCGCAGCCCTGCCGGGGGCTCGGGGCAGGAGCGGCTCCCCCACGCGCAGGCCAGCACTTAGCCCAGCATCGGCGAGCGGGAGCAGGGGCGTGCCGAGGGGCCCAAGTGGGCGGAAGAGGGTGCAGGGTGCTGCTGGGGCGGCCGAGGAAGTCACCCACGCCACCCCCCCCCACCCCGCCTCGCACAGGCTCAGCAGGGCTGGCACACCAGCCTGAGCCGCCCACCTCTGCCGACTCTCCCCAGCACACCTGGGGCCAGGGCCGCGGATACCGCTGGACCCCGTCTCTCCCCGGGTGCTCCGGAGGGTGACCCAGCACAGGACTCCTCCCCCGGGTGACTGTGCGGGGGCGGCCCAGCCCCGCCCTGCGGCCCCCGGCCCCTCGGGGCTGCTGACGCCCCACTCTGAGGTGCTTCCATGGAGGGAGAGTGCCCTGCGAACACGCGGGGTGCCTGCGCCCCAGACCGCTGAGCGCCATGGCCGAGGGCCCCTCCCCCCTCGGCCCCTCCCGTCTCCAGACAGCGAAGGCGCAGCCTCAGCAACGCAACGGAGAGGCCACTCGACCCCCCACGGCGCACAGACACTGATGGCGCCGTGGTCCCCCCTCCTGCGTGCGGCCGGCCGGGGGTCCTCAGTGGGGGGGGCGGCGGCAGAGCCCTGCAGAGCCCGCCCCACGGCCCGCCCTCCCTCCCGGCCGCCTGACGCACCAGGCCCGCTGCCCTGTGCTCTTCTCCAGTCTCCTCCTCACAACCCCCGACCCCTTCAGTCCATCAGCGGGTTCTGGGATGGACTTGGAGCCAGGACAGGGCCCGGCTCCGTCCAGCCCCTGAGCGTGGGCACACAGGAAGGTTAAGAAGCCCTGGGCAGGGTGCACTCTGAGCCCCTCCAGGAGGAAAGACCCGGAGCCCCCCAGGGGCCCTCTCTACCTCACAGGGGTCCCTATCCGAGAATGGTCACCATGGCGACGCACAACATCACAGGGCACCCTCTCCTCCTCTCGCTCAGGCCCACGGGCCAGCGCAGGCTAGTGGCCAGCGGGCTGAGTGCGCCGAGGAGCGAGAAGTGAGCCAGAGGCCCTGCTGGCCCCGGCGCGGCACAAACAGCACCAGGAGGGGACACGGCGGAAGCCGGACCAGGGACAGGAGCAGACGGGGCCCGGGGTGTGCGGGGGAGGGGACTCTAACTCCCACAGACACCCCGGACTCCCCCGGGGGTGAAGTGTCACCACGCGGGGGTACTTCGGCCACCCTGGCGCTGGCCCAGGGACCTTGTGCTGTGGGAAGTGACCGCACTGGGGCCCGCAGGCTGCCCCCGACAGATGCTTCCGGAGGACAGCGCAGTGGCCCCCGTGGGGACGGCAGCGTCTCCGTTCTGCACTGCCTGCTGGAGGTCCTTCCCGGGCCGGGTGGCGGGGGCAGCGCAGTACTTTTCCACAAGCTCCCGCCGACGGGCCAGCTCCCGGGGCGGGCGGCCCAGCCTCTGCGCCCTCAGGTGCGGCAGCCAGCGGCCCACTGCCGACGCTCCTGTGAGAGCCGCACTGAGCAGAGAGGCGCCACTGCCGGCCGAGGGCCGGGGAGAGCCTCCTGCGTCTCCTCGGCAGACGGCCCACCAGGCAAGGAAGGCCTTGGGCCACAAGCCCCAGCCTAGCGCCTGGCTCTCAGACACCCCACGTACCCCAAAAGCTTCCAAGCCTGGGACCCAGGGGAAACCAGAACCCCCCAGGTGCCCCCTGCCGGCCAGTTGGGGTGCGGCGGGGGTCTCCTGGGGTGGGGCCCTCGGCAGCTGGGCGGGGCACAGAGCGGAAGTGGCTGCCTCGAGCAGGAGCGCCCCCACCGGCCACTGCGCCAGAGACCCAGCACGCGCCTGGGCGCCACGAGGCTGGTGCTCTCCTCCTGGATTCCCCACACCTCTCTAAGTGCACCTGCGCTCTGACAACGAAGAACACTCACTCTGACAAAAAGAACATGCCCGCAGCCCCCGGGCAGAAGCAGCTCTGTCCGCACAGTGCGCCCCGCAGAGCCACACGCCCTGCAGTGACCAGTGGCAGCACGCAGAGGTCATGAGAAAGGGACGCTGAGAATTCCAGGACAAAATGGAAAGTTGCCAGGTGACTGACTGGCCTCCGCCTTGAAGGAGTGGAGTGGGCGTCTGAGGGCAGGAGAGCAGCAGCCGAAAGGGCCCAAGAAACCCCGTGTGACGGAGGCTGTGCATCTGCAGGAGGCAGGGCGGGCGGGGCCGTGGGAGCTCGAGGGCCAGCGTCCACTGTGGGAGCCCAGGGAGCAGCCTCGACTGGAGACAGGTGGCGGTGGGGGGGAGGGAGTGAGGGTCAGCCAGGCTCAGGGGTCTGTGTGCGCCTGCGTGCGCAGCAAGGCGGGCAGCCTGGAAGGCACGGGGCCTGCTGATCTTGGGGTGGTGGCAACGGGGGGGAAAGTGTCCCAGCTCTCATGTACCCACAGACCTGGCAGGGGCTCCCAGGACAAGTGGGGGCCCTGGGTCCCAGCCTGTCCTTCCTCTGCAGCCCGGACAGTGGCGGCTGAGAGACGGCGCCCAGACACAGCGAGCCCCGCTCTGCACACACCCTGCGCCCCTCCAGTGCCCCGCCGACAGCTGGGCCCACTCTCGCGGCCTCCTGGGGCCACAGCTGCCCGCCCGGTGGAGCCCAGCGGCCACGAGACCCTGAGGCTCCCTGACATCAAGGAGCCCCAACACGGTGGTCTCAGGGGCCCCACTCCAGGGCGCCGCTGTCACACGCACTGGGGCTCACGTCCCTCATGAGAGAGGCTCAGGAGGGCCTGCTCTCCTGGCGCACACCCCTGCACAGCAGCCCTCCCCACGCTCGGGACAGAGGCTCCCTGCCGTCCTGCACTGCACCAGGGCACGGCGCCCGGGGCCAACACCACCGGGGCTCGAGCCGCATCAGGGCCTGAAACCCTGGTGGCAGAGTGAACGTGCACACCGGCCAGCAGCAAGCCCTCGGCCGGGCCGGGCAGCTGACCGTCAGGTCTCTACACGTCAACCGTAAGGACATGTGCCGAACACAGCAGAGCGTCTCGGAGAGCAGGGGCCAGGCCACGTCCACAGTAGAACCTCTCGTCACTGCCCACGAGACGGCAGCACAGCCACACGGACCCGGCCTCGCCACAGCGGCCGGCACCAGGTGCCCCCGCCCGAGGCACCCAGGCACCTCGCGAGGAACACCCAGACAGGCTGCACTTCCCACGGCGCAGTCTGTGCGGTCTTTGTCGTCCAGGGGCTGCACGCCAGAGCCATAAAGACAGCCCGGAGCTGAGGAAACTCGCTGCCCCTCAGAGCTCGGTGACTGACGCCAAATTTAAACACACACACACACACACACTTTTGTGGCGCACTGATGTTATGCCAGATGTGACACTTTTACACGTGAGTTCCTGAACTCAGGTCCCAGGGCCGCGCTCCGTGTCTCCAGGCCCCCCCCCCCTTCCTGGCGCGCAGCCCGGAGGCCCAGAGCCAGCCCTCGCCGCCTCCACTGAGCCCTCGGAAGCCCTCGGGAACACGGGCTGGGTGGCGGAGGGGGACAGTGGCGCGGCTCCGACCCGCAGGCGACTGAAATTCCCGGCCGTCCTGGCTGCCTCTGGAGGTCACCGAGATACGCACGTGCAGCCTCTGCGCCACCCGGAGAAAGGCCAGCACCAGGACCTCCACTGCCCGCCCGGGCGGGCCGCGAGGCGGGGCCGTGTGCGCGCAGAACCTACCTCGGGGGCCTGCTCGGAGCCCTGGGCGCCTTCACGCGCCACCACTGCCTCTGCGGCCGCCGCCTTCCTCAGCTTTTTCCTCCTCCCTTGCTCCGGCACTGCAGAGGCTCTCCTCTTCTGTTTTGCCATCCTGCAGCAGAGAAAGGAAATCGGAAATAAAAGGTCTTGGGCCATATGATATTTTTATAGGCTCCTATCTTGAAAGAAATGCCTGTTTCACAAAATACAGAGAGTATATAGGAGTGAAAAGAGAGTCACCCCCTCGTTTCATCACCTGAGTGACCGAAGAAACAACCCGGGGATGTCCTTTCTCTGGGTGAGTGTCCTAACGCGCAGGGCCGGCACCAGGAGGCTGACAGCTGTTCGCACGGGCAACATGCAGTAATCAGTAAGCGAGGGTGCGAGGAAAAACTCCCTGGGCTGACTCGGGCTTCCCCACCCACGAGGGAGGCTGCCGGGGGCCGAGTGCACCGCCACCTGGGCGCTGGGCACCCACAGGTGGAGCCCAGGTGCAGCTGAGCTCCCAGGTGCTCCTGGGAGTGGGAACCAAGCAGCGTCCAGGGCCACAGGAAGGGAGGCGTGCGACCTGAGGAGCCAGGTGGAACCTGGTGTGTCTGCTTTCCCAAGCACAGCAGGACGGAGAACTCGGGCACCAGTCGCCTCCGCGGGCTGCGTGGTGGGGGCCCGGGGAAACGCTGGTGGTCAGGAGCCTGGCAGCACGTCACAGGGGTCAGGGCAGACAGCCCCCGTCCTCACAGCGGGACGCCTGAGGGGGCGCCGGCTGATTCTCGGAGGGAGAAGCAGGACCTGAACCAACTCCAGCCGCTGCTGGGCCCTGGCGGGAGCAGCCAGGACCCCCAGCCCCACACACCCCACTGCCTCCAGCCCCTTTGGGTGGGGCCTAGGAAGGAGCGGAAAGCAGAAGGGCGCTCTGTGCAGTCCGGAGGCTGCCGCTGCTGGGCTCTGTCAGGGCCAACCGGCCCCGGCGGCCAGACAGCCGCAGCGGCGCGGGGCCGGGAAGACCCAGCCAGCCAGCCTCCTTCAGTCTGGAAACACCCTCCTGGTGCACGTGTCCGAGCTCACCCGGCGAGCGCATCTAGGTTGCTTCCCAGGTCCTGGCAGGCAGGTCACAGGGGAGGGCGCCGCCCAACTCACGGGGCAGCGGGCCCAGAGGGAGGCCTGGGCCCCCCCAGCCCACGGCCCCCCAGGTCAGGCCCAGGTGCCCGGGAGCAGAGGCCCACTCCCCACGCCCGGGGCTGTGGCTCTGCTCCCGTCCGTTGGGACGCAGGGCCCTTCCAAGCTCTGGATCGCCCACCTGGACGAATGGCCTCCAGCCCCCGTCCTCCTGCTCCCTGGCCCTCCGCCACCCCTTCCACCCCCACGGCCGAGCTCGAGACCCCGTTACGACAACAAGCACCTCCACCTCCCATCCTTCCAGCTCTTTCCAGCTCACCTCCTCTTGGCACTGTGGGGTCAGTCCAATAACCCTTCAACTTCACCAAGACCCCAACCCACGGGCCCTCCACGGTCCAGTGCCCCTCCCCCCAGCCCCCTCCATGTCCACAGCGCCGTGTCCATGGTCCGTCATCACGGTCTCGCCCTTACACTCACTCTCGGCTCCTCCTCTGGCAAAGCCCCAACTCCGGCGCCTCCTCCTGCCAGCTGGACCCCCGGGACCAGACGCACTGGGACCACCAGTCCACAGGGCGCCCCGGGCCGCCCAGTCAGTCCACCACGCTCCCCAACGGCAGCCACGCGCCGGACTCTCATCCCCTCGTCCACCTCTCCTAACCCCCCCGGCTCCGACATCACCTCCCCGTCTGACTCCCGTCTCGGTGGAAGGACTCAACTCCCGGTCCCTGGGCTTCCCCAAGCTCCCGTGTCTCCTCCCCTCGTCACAGTGGAGACCGCCGGCTCCCACCAAGGCCCCGCGCGGGTCCTGTGGGCTGAGGCCTGTCCCGCCTCCTCCAGGCAGCACTCTGGGCCGCCCCCCCCCCCCCACGAGTCAACCGCAAGGCCCCACATCTCACGAACTCCCCGTTCCAGGCGCTCCTCACCCCGAGCCCCTGAGCTCCCTTCTCCGGAAAGACCCTCAACAGCGGTCCCTTCCCCTTGCACTAACCCCCTCCTGCCATTCTCCCTCGTCCCCTCCCCCACCGGGCTTTCACACCCCGGGGCCGCCAGAGGCGTTCCCGTCCCATGATGCAGGACACGCGTGTGCGCGCGAGCGAGCGAGAAAGACCCCCTCCTGGCCGGCCGCCACCAGGCTCCTCGGAGCCCCCTCTCCCCTAGACCCCCGCCCTGGCCCGACAAGACTCGAACGCAACAGACACAGCTTCTAACGGCTCAAGGCCGCATCCCTATGACGACCCTAACCGCCCCCCCCAAAAAAAACTCCAGCCTGAGAAAACCCCAGGATGCCAAAACCATCCGGCCAGCGCCCAAAGACAGGGCCCGTCCCCCAGCGGGGTTCCACAGCCCCGCCCCGGCCCCCGCCCGCCGGCCCACTCACGGCGCGGCACCAGACGACGCCCGGCCGCGGGTGAAAACCCTCGGCCCGGCCCAGGGTTCCCCCCTTCACCTGGAGAAAGCGGGTGTCCTCGCCGAGGCCTGCGGGCTTCAGGGGCTGCCTCCGCGCCCGCTGCGCTCTCCGGCCCCCACTCCCCACTCCCCACCCCCGGCCCGCGCTCACTCACCTCGGCCGCCGCCGGGCGCTCGGGCAGGTCCCCGCACGCGTGCCCCTCGGCGGGCGCTACGGCGACGACTAACGCAGGATGCTTCTCCCTGGCGGCGCCCATCACCGCCTTCTGACGCCTCCCCTCCCTCCCCTGATCCACGCGAGTGCACCAGGCCCGTCCGTGGCCGTCGCCCGGGGGACTGGAGCGGCCGGAGCCACGCGAAGCGCCGTGACAGAAAGTCTGAGGCGGCCGGCGGCTCGGCCCACGCGTGCCGCAGGGCCGCCCGGAGGCGAAAGACGCTGACGCCCTCCGTGTGTCCCTCCCGCCGCCCCCCGGCAGGCCCTCCAGACGCGCCCGCGCCCCTGCGCAACGACCACCCGGCGACCTCGAGACTTCGCCGTGCTCGCCTACCTGCGCGTGGCCGCGGACACCGACTTCCGGCAGGCGCCGCGCCCGGGTAACGCGGTCCCGCCTTCGGGAGCGGCACCGCCCATTGGCCGAAGCCCGCCTCCGTCCCCCAAATGGCCAATGGAAAGCGGCAGCCGCGAGGGGGAGCCGGCGCGGGAGGTGGCGTCATCTCTGGGCGCCACTAGGCGCTGAGAACAGTCGGTTGCCAGGCAGCAGCTCCGCACCGCGGTGCCTCGCCTGGGGGACAGCCGTTGTGGGCCTGGGTGTCTCCGAGTGCGGGGTCCCTTGGGCGTAAATGATCGGAGGACGCCTGCAAACTTTTGACACTACGGAGAATCTCCAAACTCCCTAATACTAATCAATATGGGCACTTTGTACGAAAACTTGAACCGCCTGTGGCTTCCCCACCCCTGGGCACACCGCCCCGCGGTGAGCCGCTCAGCGCCGCCGCAGCTCGCTGCAGTGGACGCCCAGGGCGGCGGCCGGGGAGGTAGGGAGACCCGGAGCTCGTCGTTTGTAAACGACTGAAACCTCTGGACACAAAGAACACCCAGTGCCGCGCGCAGTGACCGGGGCAGGGCCTCGTGCTCCCCTAACCTTCCAGCCCGTGAGCCCCCCGGACGCCCGTGGTCGGCACGGTGCGCCGCGGAGCCGCGGGGGCCTGGAGCTCCCCAGAAAGCTCGGTGTGGTGGGTACGCGGTCCAACCCCACCCGCGGGCGGAAACACGAGCAGACTCAGAAGTGGTCATTCTTCCTGATAAAATGTGGATGGTTTTTGTCCTTCACTTTTGAGGATCAAGAACGCAACAAAAATAGAAAGAATGCAAGCCACCTCCTTATTTTCCAAATTTCTAGTCAGTAGTAGCCAGTTAAAAAACAAAATGAAACAGTAAAAAAAAGACTTTTTTATTTAATCCATCACATCGAAAATATTATCGTTTCAACTTGTAACTTTTCAACATTGAGATACTTTCTAAATTTTTGGTCTTGTCTTCCAAGCCCAGTGTTTTACTCTGGACAGTAACTTCTATGAGACCTGGTCTGTACTCAGATTTCGTAAAATGTATGGCTCAGAAAGATCCACATACCCGAGTCCCTAACATGCTCTGAAGTTTTCTAGTAACTGAACAGTTTCAACTTGACTATTTCAAGTTCAAGTGCTGCGGTTGCACTGGCCATGTATGGTGTGTGCAGTGGAGCACCTGCTGTGAACCCACAGTGGGCCCCAAGTGAGGGAAGTGGTCCCGGAAGCAGCAGCAGCAGCAGCAGCCTCACCTGGGCGCAGGTAGGAAGTGCCACTCCTCAGGGTCCACAGCAGCCCCTGGACTCACACTGGGGGTGGCGCCCACAGTGCCCACAGGGACGTATCCAAAGGCTGGAGAACCCCTGGTCCAGAACACATCACTTCAAGAAGACTGCAGAAAGGGCTCTGACCACCTATTTGTAGAGTGGACACCGAATACAGCCCCGTCCCCCCGTAGCATTTTGAGGCTATGAAACTAGGAGAGAGAGTGGCTGCTAGGGTCTGCCCACCCAGGCGCAGTGGGCATGTGCGACCCAGAGCTGGACGACCCATTGAGGGTCAGCATCAGGCCCCAGCTCGGGCGGCATTGTGTTCCCCCCACTTCCCGACACCCGCGGGCCCAGGAAGCGAGAGTCCTCGTGCCACACATGGGGCTGCCCGTTCAGGTCTAACGCTTGGAGTCAGCGCAGTCCTGGGACTGTTCTCAGGGGAGTGGGGGCAGTGGACTGGGGGCCGCCTCTGGACCAGGACCCCTGGCAAGGTGGGTGGGAGTCCTCCCCCTTTCCTGAGGCAACGGCCACGACGGAAGCTTCATGATGAAGCCAGAGCTTGACCAGCTGTCTGCTCCTGGAGTGACGATGCTCCGGAAAACTGCAGCCCTGGGCAGAGCCACCCTCTGGTCGGCATCCGGCCCCTCTGCTCTTTAAGCCGCTTTATTTTACAGTCTTTGGAGGGAGGGTGTTCGAGCAGCTTAACCCACCTCTTAGAAGGCCCTTCTCATGGCTGAGTTTGCAAAAAGGATTTATGCGCTTTGCTGGAAAAGCTGAAAGAGTTTCAGACCTTTGCTGTGAGCAGCATGGAAGCGCCAGAGCACCAGAGGCACCCACGCAATTGGGAGGATACAAGAACCAACAGTAAACTGATGTGCCTGCCAGCCAGAACAGATGCAGGCATGCCATCTCTTTCCTTCTGGCCCGAAAGAGGATGGAAGACCTTTAGATCTGTCCCAGGCCACTGGAAGGGTGGATCAGAGAGCGGGCCACACAGGGCGCTTCAGAGGCCGCTCCGCCACGTCGCCGCTCAGTGACAGCTGGGCTGGAACACCCCCCTCCACGTGTGCTCTGGGGTTTGAGAGAGCCCGGGGCCGGATGCTCCCTGTGCTCAGCCGCACACCCGGGGGCTGTTCGACGGCCAGCTAGCAGCTGCGCTGCGGGGACGAGAGACTGCCACCCCCACACAAACGAGCCTCTGGATTCAGAGGCTCTCGCAGCTGAACCCCCACACGGAAAGGCCGACCCACAGTCAGCCAAGGGTGCTGCCTTGGGGAGGGGGAGGGTGGCGGTGAGCCCTGAGCCTGGTGCGGCACAGACCTCGGGGAGACAGCCCAGCGTAGCGGAACAAGTAACTCACTCCCATTTTTATTCAACAGGAAATGCAGGCAGATTTCCTAGGGCCGGACTTGAGGAAGGTACTTCTGGTTAACAGTAGTGAGTGGGCTCGACAGTGTCCACAAAACAGTGGGCTGAGGTCCGACCCCCAGAACCTGAGACTGTGACCTCATGTGGAGCTAGGGCCGCTGCAGGGGTACTGGGTCCGGATGAGTTCACAGCGGGGTGGGGTGGGGTGGGGTGGGGTGGGGTGGGACCACAGTCCCACACGACCGGCACTGTTACGGAGAGTGGGCATCCGAACACTGGGAGAACACCGTGCGAACACGAAGACAGAGATCAGGGTCGAGTCCACGAGCCAAGGCATCCCGAGGCCGGGCGGCACCCACCAGCAGCGGAGGGAGGGGCCCGGGACACTTGACCCCAGCCAGCGTCAGCCTCCACACCGAGGGGTGAGGAGCTCCCGTGGTTGAAGCCCCACCCCCCCGCCCCCGCCCCCGCCCCCGCGGTGGTTCTTCGTCCGGCGGCCCCGGGAAACAAGACAGCTGGACTCCACTGCGACCTCACATCCAGCTTTAATGGAGATCGCACTCACACAGCCCCTGCGGCAAACACCTAGCGCCCGCCACCACCCGGCAGAGAGCGGCGCGCAGGCTGCCCTCCCCCCACGGCGCAGGCGCGGGTCCGGCCCCCATCACGGGAGGTGCGCGTCCAGCACGTCGCGGCCAGGCTGGCTCCTCACCCGGGGACGCTGACGGGGCCGCGCCCACGTGCGCAGCGGTGATCCAGGGGGTGTCTGTGCTGAAGACAGAAGTTGCCGCCGCACTGGTCACAAGCCACCGGCAGCATCTCCTTCTTCTTGCACCCGCCCTTTGAGCACCGGTACGTGAAGACCTGAGAGGGCCAGAGTGACGTCAGCACCCCCATCGCTCCGGCAGGCAGTCGCCCTGCAGCCCCCGGGCGACCGCCAACACCCGGGAGAAACGGTCCTCGGCTGCGCGGAGCGAGGAGGTCGAGGTTTCCGCGAAGCGTTTCACGGTCGGCAGTGACCCGACGCCGGGAGACAGGAGCTTTCACAGGCGACAACCTCGAAAGCCGCCCTGTAGCTGGGGGTCCACGAAGGGGGTGAAGGTGTGCCGGCTGGGGGCGGGGCCAGGGGCACGGAGGGGAGGGGCCAGCGTGGGGCACCATCCAGGGGCTCTGCAGACGAGGGGGTGTCCCCGCAGCCATTAGTTCTCGGGGTTTTTTTTGGGGGGGGGCGGGTTATGATATAAACGTGCAGGCACCTCCGAGCCTGTGAAGGTCAGAACACCAGCGCACCGGCGCCGTCCAGCAGCTGCGGGGAGCCCTCCGGCACGGACCGGCAGCCAGGGGCTGCCTCGGGGGAGACGAGCGCGTGCAGACAGCGCGGGGACCCGGCGCTGAGGGTCCGCTGCCGGCAGCAGGCCCCACCGACGCCAGCAGGAGACCGGTGCCCTGCAGAGGCTCAGGGAGCGGCTGCTGGCCTGGGCGAGAGCCGCAGCGGGCAGGAGCCCACGTGAGGACGGGGCGGGGACGCGGAGGACAGCGAGGAGCGCACGCTCTGCAGCGAGGCGAGGGCTGACTGCTCCCTCCACTTGGCTCCGGAACTCCGGAAGCCAGGGGCGGGCTCCCCAGGCAGGGCATCGGACGGGCCCAAGAGGAAGCCCAGACGACACAGACCTTCACGCTTTCCTGAGGAGGGTCGGGGTGACCACGGCGAAGGCAGAGCCCTCACTGCCCCACTGAGCAAAGGAGTGGTCGGCCACCCAGGCAGGCGAGGGGGACACAGGCCCCCTGACACAGGCTACACAGAGGAAAAAACTCATGAGGAAAGTCAGGAGGCCTGTCCCGAGGGCAGTGCCCGACAGGGGTCTGAAAGGAATGAGAGACTCCGGGAAGGCGAAAGAGTCCCAGAGTGGAAACAATGCAGCTTCCGGTCCAGATGAGGGTGGGCCCACACCCGGGACGCTCCGCGTCGCTTCCAGACTGCGGGACAGAGAGCAGACCCTCCAGCCGCCCAGAGGGAAACTGGTTCCCCCAGGAGCACAGGAGACAGCCTGGGAACTCTCTGACAGCAAACGCCAGGGCCCGAAGCCGCGCCCGCAGGTGCCGAGGGAGGGATTCGGAGCAGGGCGCTCTCCCAGGCAGCCAGCCGAGCAGGGGCAGGGAATAAAGACCCTGGAAACTCAGGTCCATCTGCCTCCCATCCTCACTCGCGGGGAGAAAGTGGGGGGTGTCCCGCCCCCAGAAGAGGGGAATAAACCAAGGACACAGGAGACCAGGGACCCACAGCAAGGGAGATGCGGGGAACTGGGCCCCACCGCCCCGTGAGAGAGAAGCATGCGGGGAACCTCTGGGCCACGTCTCCGAGCACAGCCCAACCCACAGCTGCTGGGAGGCGGGGCGTGGGGAGGAGAGCACGGGGAGAGCCAGACCAGGCACAGGAGCCCGGCGCTCAGCTCACGCAGTGGTGAGCAGGCAGTGCCCCGGGCCAGCGCACACACGCCAGACCCGAGA